GCCCTGGCCACGGGATTGCTGATATAAACAGCCGGCGGCCGGAGTCTTTGGGTGGTTTCCCACAGGAACTTTCATGCCCCGCCCGCATACTAGTTGCGATTCTTCAACTGTTCTACCCAAGACCCACCTAGTGGGTCCAAAGGACCCACCGCATGATATACTGAGGGCCGGCCGGAGTGTTTCGCGTGTTCCTCGGCTGGTGTTTGATGGCCCGCCCGTTAAACAGTGGCGATTTTCCGAGCGCCGGCCCGGACATCGCCGTCGTAGGCCCAGAGGAGTGGATGCTGCATATAATGAAACAATTGGAACCGCAAGTGATTTGGGGGGAGTAACGAGCATCTGGCCAGGCCGGAATTTCCGATCATATCTCGTCGGATAATGGGCAGTTAGTGTCGAACTGAACGATCGCAGTTTAACGGCCGCCAATAATCGGCGCTAAGCCCCCCCGCGCGATTGGGGCATGGGGGGCTTCGCCCCCATTAAACGGAATATGGGGCCGTTATTCTGATGGTTTTCATGTTCTCGTGATGCGATCGAGCCAGTTTGATGCACATTCGAGCCCGGATTATTCGCGCCGCGCGTTCTAATTAGTCGGGGATGGTGTTTTTTAAGCGGTTCGCGGCCGGAATAAAGACAAACGAAACTTTGGATGCTTTGCACGTGTTCTGGTCACAGTTTGATCGTTTCCAGATCTTCTGGCCCAATTAGGGCGCGCTTGAGTAGTGAGCGAAACTGTCGCTCAACCCCCATCTAGTGAGAGAAGTTGACAGTGGATCGGCTTAAAGAACGCTCCCAGATCCAGATTTCTGGATATAAAGCCGCTACCTGGCGGCACACAATAGGAAAACTGAGTGGAAATTTCCATGCGGCCGCATTTCCACATTTAGGGGATTAAAAATGTCTGGAAAGAGTTGGATGGGAGTGACGTACGTGATACTGGAGCGCAGCGAAGGTCGTAATTAAATTCGTCGGCAACGGTTTCAGTTTGGGGAAGCACTTTTGAGTGATTCGCAATTGGTACGCTTGAGTCGCCTGGATGGTCTCTCTGCAGCCAATCAGAGCAACGGATGCATATCTGCAGCCAATCAGAGGATCTGCCCTGTCAGAGACGAAATAAACGACTGCATTTACCGACCGGTTTATCTAAAGCGATTTTTTATCGCCCGATGGCGCTGTGATCGATCGGTGCATAAAGCGCCTTCGGAATCCATTGGCGCCGCCACTGGCCGCCCCATTAAGCCGCTTAACCTAATCTGATTGGCCGAAACGTTGATCGACCAACCTGGAAAAACTCCTGCATATCGGAAAAATAATTGGATACAGCCACTCAAGTGGAGTGGACGTTTTCCGTCTTTGTCCTTGCGGGTCGCATCTCCGATGCGACGTCACGTGCGAGTCCTTCAAAGGAAAAGGTTTCAAGTCGGTCTCGGCCACTCAAGCGCTGGTTTGCATTGTCTGCAACACTGGGGCGGGATGTTTTAATAGGGTGTTTTCATTGTATCCAAAATTCCTTCAAACTGAACATTAATCTATGATAATATACAGGGTGGTTTTTTTTTAAATCTTGAAACGTGATCCATAAATGTCACTATTTTCCATTATCAAATCAATTTCATTCATCAGTGAAAATCGCCACTTTTTACCGGGCGGGCCATCAAACACCAGCCGAAGAACACGCGAAACACTCCGGCCGGCCCTCAGTATATCATGCGGGGGGTCCTTTGGGCCTACTAAGTGGGTCTTGGGTCGAACAGTTGGAGAATCGCAACTAGTATGCGGGCGGGGCATGAAAGTTCCTGTGGGAAACCACCCAAAGACTCCGGCCGCCCGCTGTTTATATCAGCAATCCCGTGGCCAGGGCCTACTATGTCGAAATAYGGTCAGCCAGTGGCGCAATTGYAACCCTTAGGCCTGCCGGCCATGACCAATGTGCTGTTGCGGAACAGCGGCCGGAATCTTTTGGCTTCCCTTTAATAGAACCGGTTTTTTTGCGCTTGATTCAAGCGATTTGCGAGAAATTCGAGACTTGCTGGGTATTTGCGCGGTGAAATTTCACACCCCGCCGGCCAACTACTGGCAATTTTTCAACCGCTCGTCTCAAAATCAACATAGCAGGCCTAGACGACTGGATGCCTGATATGGCAAACTGGCGGCCGGAGTCTTTCGGCTGTGTCCCAATGGACCTTTCACACCCCGCCCGCTTGCCAGTTGCGCTTTTTCAGCTGCTCGACCGAAAATCAGCATGGCAGGTCCAGAGGACTGGATTGTCTATATAATGAATCAGCGGCCAGAGCCTTTTGGCTTGTCCCCGTCAGAACTTTTAGGCCCCGCCCCTTTCGCACTTGCAATTTTCCATCCGCTGGACTAAAATTCAACATAGCAGTCCTAGAGGACTGATTGCTGGATATAACATTGCCAAAAGGCCGCTCTGCTAATGCATGTAGTTCCACTGTTGGCAAGACGTTTATTAACGGGGGGCAAATTTACGTTTCGGGGCCGCTCATTTAAGCCGCAAGATCCCCATCTGGAAGGCCGATTAGCCGCCCAGCTGGTTTAATTAACATTCGAGCTTCTTTCTGGTCTATGTGTGTGTGTGTGTGTTAACCACCCCTAATTTCCAGACCCGGATGGAACGAAATCGGGTTTTTTCTCCCGGTTGTTTTCCACTTTAACTCATTGATGTTTGGGGACTAGTCGGGAAGACACTGGGACGCCCCCCATGGGGGCGACAGTTATAATGAGACGTCATGAGCAGAACGGGAAACTTTTTAATCCAGATTTTTAATTGCGCCGCTTTGCATGCCCAGGAAATGCGTCTCCGTCATGGGAGGGGCGCATTTTTGCGGGAAAAGTTCGGGAATTTCATGTTTCATCCCGGATGCAACTTGGGCGGTTAATCGGGTTGAATAATTGGCAGTTTTAAACGGAAAACACACGTAAACAAAAGGAAATTAGCAAGTTGGCTTTTAAGAATGGCGACAAGCATTCTGGCAAGCGGCTTCTCCCGATTTAGGGGATGTTTTAATCATGAGCTTTATAAGGTCGACGCGACTCGGCTCGTTTTAATTGAATTTCGGACGAGTTTTGCCGCCCCCCAATCTCGGTCGGGGGGGGCGGCGCCCGCCCCTTTCACCCCCGTGCACGCTCAACCGTTTTCGATGCGACGTTTCACTTTCGAATATGCCATCTTCAGGCCGATTTCGCGAATCAAAATGGCGAAATGGCAAAATGCGGGCGGCATTTTTCCTCCCTGGTCAGTTTGGCCCACAAAAAGCCGCTTATTAAGAGCGCTGTTGCCGTTAATTGGGCCGCTTTGTCAATCGAATCCGAAACGGGGCCGCATTAATTGAACGCCGCCCCAAAATCAACGTGATTAAACAGTCGATTATCCACGTTTATAATCCAAGTTTCTGGAGCTTTTTTCCTGTCCTGGATTACAATAAATCTCCGGCAAAAATCGATAAAGCACTTTTTCGGAGACATCTTGCCAAAAACTGTCTAATAATGGCTCAAGTTCAAAACTTTCCCCGCCTGTAGAACGCACTTTTCTCGATAAAACGCACTCAAAAGCGAATCTGCAGCTTGACCGGTTTTCGAGAAAACCGATTGCAAAGTGGGACCAGCATAGAGAAGCGCAAAAGTTTCGGCAAATTTGACACACTTTTACCCAACACACAACACCTAAATGTCAAAAACCCTGGAAACTTGCCTTTTGTTCAGTTGCCCCCAGTAAATCAGTGTCGTGCCGGTCGGTGCGACGCAGTGCTGCGCCAACTCAACGCATCGGCGCAATCACTCACCCCGACACCCACTTGAGATGGAAGGCTATTCATAAACAATAAAACTATGAGTCATAACTCATCAGCTGATGTGTTCCAAACCGTTAACTCACAGAGACACATCAACTCAATGGCGCAACTCGACACAGCGTGTGTGTTACCCATGGCTGCTCACACTTGGGTGTCAAAGTTGACCAGCACGACCCTGATTTTTTGGGGGAAAACTGATCGTAAGGGCAGGTTGCGAGTTGTTTGGCATGCCGATCCTGAGTCATCATCAGGTCAATGGGGGGAAATGTGGGGCAGATCGTTAACCAATTAAGCGAAACGGGGGAAAGGGGGGCAATTGGGCGCGCTCCCAAGACACGAAACCGCTCGTTGTCCGGCCGAGCGGACATCGGGGCCGCCCAAATGCCATTAATTCATTAAACGTTTCGAATCCGAATGTCCCCCAATAATAATCAATAACAAGAGCTTAAATAATAAAACAAAGCTGCGAAAACAACAAAATAAACGCGAGACACTTTGTTGATATGACCTGCTACGTCACAATCGCGATAGGCAACCGACGATACGGACTCGGCGTTTTTGGCGGAAAATTTGAATTTAAATGCGCTTTAAAATAGTTACGAAGACTTTTTTTTGCAAAAAAACTTTACTTTCTACATATCAACATTAAAAAAAATGAAAACAGTGGATCGGCGCCTGGTTTTCGTCAAAAATGGGGGCGCCACGCGCGATAACCGTCACTAATTGGACGATCACTCCGAAAATAGACCATAAAGTGCCCACGTTTCCCGTCCTTATCCCGAGCCATTAGTTAATGCGATTTATGCAGGAAGATGGCGCTAAAGTGCGGTACTCACCGGTCCGAACTGCTCGAAGTAGCTCTTGACGTCCTCGAGAGTAGTGGGGGCCGACAGGCCCCCCACAAAGATCTTTTTCGTTCGAGTCACCATCTGCAAACAAGAAAAACTCCATTTAACCAAACAAAGACGGCTTAAAGAAGCTGAGGAAGTTGGGGGGGAGCGCTTCGCGCCCGACTGGGCGCAACTTGGAAGTTCAATCGCGAAAAGCCCCCTACATTTCTAATTGCTTTCGAATGTAGCGCGCTTAAAAGCTTCTCCAGCTGGCAGGGGGCGCCAGTGGGCGCCCTCCCAATCCCGCCTGCCTGGATGCACTTTTCTGATCAAAAATGATTCAATCCCGATTTTAATAAACCAGTTAATCAGGGGGCGCGCCAGCGAAGCGAAAAAGCGCCCGATATTATCTTAAGGGTTGCAAATCGTCGTCGTATTTACTTGGGGCCCATTAAACGCATTCAAAATACACCAAGAAACAGTCAGAAGACACTGCAAGACACTTGGAATGGACAAAATCGGTTGCAAAACACTCAAGCAACACTCAATCGACTGGAACATCCGACAAAGCAAGTGAACGCCATTCAAAATACGCCCAGAAACAAAGAAAAGTAGCCAACAGACACTTGGAATGGATTAAAGTGGCTGCAAAACACTCAAAAGACACTCGGAGGAGCTGAACATCCGACAATCAGCGTCGGGGAGCATTCAACGCATTCAAAATACACCAAAAAACAGTCAGAAGACACTACAAGGCACTTGGAATGGACAAAATCGGTTGCAAAACACTCAAGCAACACTCAATCGACTGGAACATCCGACAAAGCAAGAGAACGCCATTCAAAATACGCCCAGAAACAAAGAAAAGTAGCCAACAGACACTCGGAATGGATTAAAGTGGTTGCAAAACACTCAAAAGACACTCAGCCGCTTTGAACATTCGACAAAGCAAGTGTGCGCCTTTCAAAGCAATCAAATGATCAAGAAACAGCTGGAATGGACAAGAGTGACTGGAAAACATTTCGAAATTGAATCAACTCACCGAGGAAACCTTCTGAACATGTTCGAAAGAGACTCGAACATCCGACACAGTGCGTCAGAACAGTGGCTGAGTCACATTGAAAGRACCCCAAAGGTTTGGMGGCACTCAAAGACAGATTGATTGAAAGTCGTGTCCGACATGATCCGACAAGTTGAGTCAAACATCCGACAACTTGGCACACCTGGAATGGGCATAAAGGGCGACTTTTTTGCGAAAATCCGGCTTTACTGAAGACTTGAGTGAATTTAATTAGCGACGCCACTGGCCGTTGGCCCCCCAGGGCCTCTGAAGGGGGGATACCGATACCTGGACGCATCCCTATCATGTTCACACTTGATTGCAGTCAAAGCGATCGTTTTCGCGCCCCCAATTGGCCGCCCTTTGTCTCCCCTCTGCCTAGTTTGTTTGTGGGAGCTAGAAAACCAGTGGCGGAGCTCTGAAGAACTCTGCGTTTGTCGGATTAACCCATAATACATCCAAAGACTCCCAACTAACTCTTCCTAAGGGGTGGCCTTCGGACGCACCCCTTCAAAGGCTCATATTTTTTTTGGGGGATTTGAATAAATGGCCGGCCGAAGGCAGTGGCGCGCCACTTCGCTCCCCTTGCTGCTAGTTGTTTTTAAGGCTTTCGTCTTCAATAAACAGCCAATGAAAGGGCTTTGACGGCCCTTTAAAGCCCCCCATTAAATCTGCCGGGGTTTTTTCATCGTTTTGCGTTTTTACGGGCCAAGAGCAGTAAAACGACAACACGAAGGCGAAGGGCTGGAAACCGGCTTTTGCTTCGCCAGTGTTGCCAAATGTTGCGCTTTGACGCCCGTTTCGGGCCCCCCTTTCAACCCCCAAAATAATCAGTTATTAGCGCTAATCGAACGCGCCATTGTCGAATATCAATTATCCGCGGCCCCGATTACTAATAAACAATCGATTCAATGCAATTAATAATGGGCAATAATTAATTGGATGGATCATGCTGCGATGCTTGAGGGCTGCCGGAAAATTGCCCTTTTCTGGACCCGACCGTGTCGGATTGTGCCCTCGATCGATGCACGTTTTTCTAACTGAAAACCTTCCAAACTGTCCGATTTTCCGTTTCTTCTCATGAGTGTCAGTGGCGTGCAGCCAAAAACCCCAAGCGCACCGTGAGTGTCAAAGCGGCGCTTTCCGGGGTGCGCCATTTGCGTAAATCACATTCGCCCGTCCCTCGAACATTTTTATTTCATTGCGAGTGTGTTTCTTTTCATCGCGCGCTCATTCAATAATAAATGGAGGGAGCGTCTTCGGCTCGGCTCCATCCAGCCCTGGCTAATGCCCATTATGTCCGTTATTGCAGTCGAATTCAGTTGCCAGGAAAAAAACGCCAATCTGACAACGAGGCGCGATTCGCCCCGCACCTGGAAAGGGCTGGTTTTTCCATTTTTAATGGGCCCCAAGTAAATACGACGAAGATTAGCGACCCTTAAGATAATATCGGGCGCTTTTTCGCTTCGCTGGCGCGCCCCTTGATTGGCTGGCTTATTGAAATCGGGATTGGATAATTTTTGGCCAGAAAAGTGCATCCGGGCAGGCGGGTTTGGTCCAAGTCTTCACTAAAGCCGGATTTTCGCAAAAAAGTCGCCCCTTTTGCCCATTCCAGCTGTGCCAACTTGTCGGATGTTTGACTCAACTTGTCGGATCATGTCGSACACGACTTTCAATCAATCTGWCTTTGAGTGAGTGCCTCYAAACCTTTGGGGTCCTTTCAAKGTGACTCAGCCACTGTTCTGACGCACTGTGTCGGATGCTCGAGTCTCTTTCGAACATGTTCAGAAGGTTCCCTCGSTGAGTTGATTCAATTTCGAAATGTTTTCCAGTCACTCTTGTCCATTCCAGCTGTTTCTTRATCATTTGATTGCTTTGAAAGGCGCTCACTTGCTGTGTCGGATGTTCAAAGCGGCTSAGTGTCTTTTGAGTGTTTTGCAACCACTTTCATCCATTCCGAGTGTCTCTTCGGGTCTTCTCATTGTTTCTTGTATTTCCAATGCTTTGAATGGTCCCCGACTCAGTTTGTCGGATGTTCAGCGCCACCGAGTGTCGTTTGAGTGCTTTGCAGGCACTTTAATCCATTCCGAGTGTCTGTTGGCGACTTTTCTTTGTTTCTGGGCGTATTTTGAATGGCGTTCACTTGCTTTGTCGAATGTTCGAAGTGATTGAGTGTGTTTTTCAGTGTTTTGCAGACACTTTAATCCATTCCGAGTGTCTGTTGGCGACTTCTCCTTGTTTTTTTGGCGTATTTTCAATGACGTTCACTTGCTTTGTCGGATGTTCCCGTAGATTGAGTGTTTTGCACCTTCTTTTGTCCTTTCCAAGTGTCTTGTAGTATCTTCTGACTGTTTTTTGGTGTATTTTGAATGCGTTGAATGCTCCCCGACGCAGATTGTCGGATGTTCAGCGCCACCGAGTATCTTTTGAGTGTTTTGCAGCCACTTTAATCCATTCCGAGTGTCTGTTGGCGACTTCTCTTGGTTTCTTGGCGTATTTTGAATGGCTTTGTCGGATGTTCAATGCAGCTGAGTGGCTTTTTGAGCATGAATGGCACTGTATTACTTTGTCGGATGTCCAAAGCGACTTGCAATCAATGCAATTGTCGCTGGCTGCATTTTGAACGTCGGACTGACTCACACTTGGTGTGTCGGATGTTCACAGTGACACTGGATTCTTGCGTGTTTCCTTCGCGGCCAATAAAGGGCAGAAATGCGTCGCTCGAGGGGATCGAAAGTCCGCATTCTATTTATAGGCGGCGAACACAAATATATCACTTTCACAATATTAATGTGGATACAAGTAGATGATCCCGATACGGAATTGGGCCGGTCGGAAGCCGAAATCGTCGACGGCATGAAGGAAAAGGGCCGAAGGAGACGCGCCATAATCACGCAAAGTTCCCGTTAAACTTCCGACGCGCGATCCAGGTCCGTAAACAAAATTAAAAGCTGGTAGGGTGGGGGGCGGGTCGCCCACCTTCGGTTAATTCGTTAAAAATGCGTTCGAATATTTAGGTTACGGTATCGCGGCGGGCCCTTTCATGCCGCCCCCAAATTGCCTCTAAATAAGTAATTAGCAGCTTTTTGTGGCGGGGATTCCATGTATCTTGGCGGGTGGGGGTTGACTGATACCTGATACCTCGCCCCCACCACCCCCCACCCTCAGTGCATCATGTGTTAATTTAATTAATCGCCAAACTCGTTAGCGGGCAAATATCGGCAAAGTAGGGGAAGAGAGGCCGAAACGGGACGTTGCCGCTCAGCCAACCTGCCTGAACACTATGCGATTTGTCTTGGGGGAAAACTATTCTTTGCCCCCTCCCCCCACAACCATACAATCGCATGATTAATTGTTCCGAAGAGCCCGATCCGCTCGGTTTCGGTTGCCGCTGTCCGGTTTTGCCCGCGCTTCCTCGCAAACTGGGGGGCCAACGATGATGGCAATCAGCGCAATTAAAGGCGCGGCGCCACTGAAAGACCAGGAAATACAGGGGAAAGTTGACCGAAAATTGGTGCGAGTCAACCGGCTTCCTGGCGCGCCACTGGCCTGCGCTGACCCACTTTGCTAAGCGATAAATCCCCAACACCGGGCCGTTTTCCACGGAAATTTCGGCTGTTTGCAGAGCGACAGCGATCAGTGCTGAGGCTCGGCCATCGATTGATTGCTCAGAAGCTGAGCGAGTTGCAATTGCTGCCTGAGATTGGCGGGGCTTCTGAAGCCCCGCCAACCGGGGCAACCAACAATCTGCATCGGGGAGCACTCCAAGCACTCAAAATACACCAAAAAAAACAGTCAGAAGACACTACAAGACACTTACAACGGGCAAAATCGGTTGTAAAACACTCAAGGGACACTCAATCGACTTGAACATCCGACAAAGCAAGTGAACGCCGTTCAAAATACGCCCAGAAACAAAGAAAAGTCGCCAATCGACACTCGGAATGGATTAAAGTGGCTGCAAAACACTCAAAAGACACTCGGAGGCGCTGAACATCCGACCATCTGCGTCGGGGAGCATTCAACGCATTCAAAATAC